AAACAGTACCAGGAAAATGTTTAGAGTACTGTCAGAACATAACTGGACTTAGCATTAATATTATAACTAAGAAAAAATATTGTTTTAATATATTTTTTAAACTTCTACTACATACTCCAAGGGCTTTATCATATCCAGAATGTAGCACCTGATGAGGAAAACAATGCTAGAAAAGAATTTCCCATTGGGTTACTCTTCTGCCTGCTAATGAGCCCAAACAATCATCAAGTGTTATTTATTTCAGTGTGGATTTATTTAGTCTCAGATTTGTGTGGTTTCCTACGGATCCACTCAACATGTTCAACGTTATGCAAGGTCCTGATCAAGGGGTATTTGCTAAACAAAGGGTTTCTTCTGAGTTTGAGAAAATAATACCTTTTTCGTTTTAACAAGTATGCCTTTAGAATGTGAGAAGTCCAAACTGAAAACAAAACCAAACCAAAATGAAACAGAAAACACCTTTGCAGTGAATATCATCTGGGAACTATAAACAATCTTAGAGATTCCAGGACACCAGCAAACCATGATTTTATTAAAGTGACATCATGCTTCAGCACTGGGCCAGAACAAATGCAATATTCTTCTAATGTTCTGTTGTAGTGAAGTACAACCATAAATTCACAGACTTTAAAATCCAGAGTGAAAGAAAGCTTCACTCATGGGTCTCTTGTGACAGAGTTGTTCTGGTTGTTGATTTTATTCAGGAAGACATGAACTTTTTCATTTCAAGAACCCCTTAGTATTTAAAATGACATCTCAGAAGTGCTGCTTTTGATAGGTAGGAGTATTACTTTAGAACACTTGCTTACTGCTTGGCATCCCTTCTAGAAGCACACAAGGAACAAGACAGAGATCAAGTAAGGGCACAGAGTCAATGCTAAGATTTTTGTAGTGACACCTCAGGCTGCATTAAACTCCAGATTCTCATATTTTAAATAAATTATTTAAAATATATATAAAAAAAAAGTAGCCACAATGTCTGTGTCTGCAAAGTGAGTTAAGAAAGGAGGTTCTGTCACTTAAACAGAGGTGCCTGGTGCCATCTGAAAGGACCCAGGGCACCCTGCTTGGATTGCAGCTGCCAGCCCAGAAGACCTGTGGTTTGTAGGTCCTGTGTCATATATGCCAGAGCTATGCAGCTGTTTCAGATATTCTAGCATATTCTACCTAGCAGAAAAGCATCAAATAAATCCAAACTTTGGAATATGAAGCTAAATTAATTCAACTGAGAATTGAGAAGTGATGCTGATTTACCACTGGAACAATCTATGAGGCTCCCCTGTTTTGGGACTGAGCGACTTTACGACAAAAGTTCCCAAGGCAAACACCTGTTATTGGATTCAGGAGAAGGGCGACCATTTAAACTTTTAAGCCATGATTTCCATATCAGATAATAAGATTTAATTGTCCCTTCTCGTCTTAAAACTCTTATGAGCCAGATATCCATTCTAGTCCCCTGAGTCCCAGTTCATTGTCTTGGTTTCCAGACCATGATAGCTTTCTCATTCCATCCAGAAAGTCTGTTCTGGAGCCAAAGATGAAGTGAAATATCTTTCATTGCAGAGCTCATTGTAACATAATCAATCTCATATGGTTGTCCTGCTGTTGTTGTGACTGCAGGGGAATAGCACTCTGTTTCTTGTAACAAATGTAGAAATCCAGCTGCTGAACCTCAGGGGGGATCAGACCTGGTGCTTGATTATCTCAGACTTCTTCCAGCCATCGTTCACCTGCATTGATCCTTTTTTAGAGAGCATTCTGTTCTATGTACCTTTCAAGTATATCAGAACTTTTGCAAGCTAAATTCTGTTTCTAAATCAGAACCATTATAGGATCTACTGAGGGAATAGGTAGGATTGAGTTTGCACTAAAACAGATCAGCTATGATCTATCACAGCTGGCATCTTGATTCAAACTTGAGCCTGGTGTAGTCCAACACAAACATGAACAGAAAAGAACTGAACTGAATGCACTGATATTACTGTGGTTCTCTCCTAAAGGGGAAATGCCACCAGCCCAGAGCAGGTCCCCAGCAGAGTTAATGGGTATGTCTGATCAGGCACACCAAATAGTTGACAGCCACCAAAAGCCACCTGTGTGCAGGTATTTGTCTTCTCAGGTAGCAGTTCTGGGAAAAATCCATCAAATAATAAATATTCATGAGTCAAGAGGTCAAAGAAAGGACTCTGTAAGCTGCTGGTGAGCCCATTCAGCTTGGATTCTCAGCTCTGCTTTACAAAGCACAGAATCGTTAAGGTTGGAAAAGACCACTAAGGTCTTCAAGCCCAACCATTAACCCACCCCCATCATGCCCACTAAACCATGTCCCCAAGTGCCACATCTCCATGGTTCTTGAATGCCTCCAGTGGCTGTTCTGTGTCTATAAACATCTTTATGTCCATAGGCAGTATCCACAGCAAAGAAGGGGAGACTGATTGCATGCTCCCTTACTCTGCACCAGGTACATCACTCAGGTGGCAGAAAGTGTTTAAATCACTGTTTTATCTCTGCTAATCACTGTTTTATCTCTGGTACAGAGAATTAGATATGTATTTTCAGGAGCCTCACCACTAGTTTGGATATTCTTTGTTCCAAAGAGTTTCAGTTGCAAACTGGGTGCACTTGAATATGATGCAGTGAACTGTCTAAATCCAGTCTTTCAAAGGAACTCTGCATGAAAAAGGAATTCTGACAGGATCAGCCTGAGCTTGCAAGCTCAATGTAGAAGGAACTGCCAACAGCTTTTTCAGGAAAAGAACAAAGAAAGCAAACCTGCTCACTGATGGAAGCTCCTTTAGTACAGTTTATTACAGCAAATCATGCACAGAGACTTTATAAAAAGAAGAGTCTGAAATGAATCAGAATCAGAACTTTGTGACTTGTTTTGAGCATAAATTTGTTTTGTTTTGTTTTGTTTTCCCTTCCTTTGTTCTCCATCTCTGCCTTTACATTTAAGTGATTGCAATTTTTGTGTGTTATTCATTCATCAGAGGGAAGAGCAATGCTGCTGACCTGTCCTGGAAAGTATAGGAGGTATATAAGGAAAAGTGGGAGAGGACAAATGAATAGAATACTACAAATTTATGTAAATAAACAGCAGAACTGAGGGAAATAGATCTTACAAAAACAGCCCAGCCTATCCTAGAGATCATCTGTATCACAGAATCATAAAGTTCGGAAAGGCCACTGAGACAATCTACTCCAACAGCCAGCCCATCACCATCAAGCCCATTATCTGTGTCCATTAGTGCCACATTTATTTGTTTCTTGAATACCTCCAGGGACTGAGCATAAGTATGCTATGGAAAGAGCCCCTTCCAAGCTATTCATAGGGATTGCTGCATAGGACTCAGCCTCATGAAGAGTTTCTTGTGCCTTGTTTCTTGGCCAAGCACGGGTAGCGAGGAGACCTCTAAAAAAGCTATTTTATCTTAGGCACAGCACTCAGTGGAGAGGCATCATACAGCTGCAGATCAGCAAAAAACAGATGACAAGATGGGAATGTGAATCATGGTCCTTCATTCTCTGTTAATTCTCCACCCATCAGACTCTACAGACCAAAACCTTTGAAGTTTCCAGGATTCCCAAGAGCGTGGATGTCCCAAAAACAACTACATGATTGACCCATCTATTACAGGATGGTACAATACAGAGACCTTGCTATGTCATTGCAGTTGCTCAGCCATGCCATTTATCAAACCAAAGGATTCATGCATTGAATTAATTAGTTTCTACATTGTTCAGACCTCAGACCTCGTGTTGCAAGTGATGCAGAGGTCAGGGGTGACTGGCTGCAGTTGCTAAAAGCTGTTCTGTATGCACTCAAGAGTAGAAAAAAAAGAGCCAGAGGACATGTTTCATTCAGCTCAAGCTTGGCTCAGCAGGAGGACTAGAGGCTGGATCCATGAAGGACTGTAAATTCGATGGAGATACTTCTAGAACTGTTTCCTGAGGATCCAATGTAAAGAAGGAAATGAGGCCACTGGACTGCCTCCATAATTTCTCATGGCCTGGGGATAGAGGTAAATGTTTTAGGCAGCCCTGCAAGGCTTAGCATACACTCAGATATGGGATTACTTCAGTGTAGGTCTGTGTTATGTAACCTGCAATAGGAAAGCTGTACAAATTTGGGCTCCTGATGTTTCCTGGGACTCCTGTTCCAAAAATAGGCGTCTCCACCAGAACTAGTGTTCATTTCCTTTTAAGTGGAAAAAAACTTTTCATTTTAGAGTGCAGCTTCATTCTTAAAGCAAAAATATCCTGACAGAATGAAATTAATCCTTCAGAGAGACCAAAACATGGCTACAAAAGGAAGGAAACCAGTTATCATGTGTCAAGTCAATTGAATTTGGTATCATAAACAAAATAGGATATCTAGATTTGGATAAAGGACATTCTGGTTGTTCTCAAGAACAACTCTGATTTGGCTGCATGAAGCCATGTAAAAATGATAACAAAGAGCTGTAACTTACAATATCGAGGTGCAGTTTCCTGCACTAGCACAGGATCTATGTGCAGCCTTGAGATAACTCAGCTGCCTACACACAGGTCATCCAATACCTTTGGATACATTATGCGGGTGCCCAGTACTGCTCTGGGAGGAGGCAGATCTCTTGCAAGACTTGTGTCATATTTCCCATACTACGTTGTGTCTAAGCCATTTTCAATAACACTAGATTCCTTTGTATAGGTAGTTGAGCCCCTACTTTTTGCATTTCTTGTCTTATCTTTCCTATAGGTAGGTAAGGAGCAGGAAACACTGGTGGAGGGCTTGCTGCAGGGATGCTAAAGACAATGACTCTGAGTCACTCATCCACAGGAGGGATTCCTGTGCTAGACCTACTGGCAGATTCCCTGTTCCTTTATCCAGGTAGAAACCATGGTAATACATGAGCAAAACACAGGTGAGGTTCAGTGGCATTCAGAAAGGAAGCACAAGAACTATTACGAGATTTGAGCTGTGGCACAGCACAATGAGAAAATAGCTGAGCCCCAGCAAATAGTTTCAGATGCAACTCTGTTTATTGGATGCAGAGGAAAGCATTGGAAGGACAAGGAGTCAGTGGCGTTGCTTAGAAGCACAAGTCCCTCATCCCAAGATATGCCTGTAAAAGAGCAATAAAAAACAGAATAAACAAATAAAAAACAGTATTCTTGCTGCACTGAACCAGTTTGCCTGATGAACCTGGAGCTCCAGATAACAATTCCACTTGAAACAGGCAATGATGGTTAACAAACAGCAGCCTGGTTACCCGAGACAATGCCGAGGGCGGCGCGCGAGTGAAGAAAACAGCCTGATTATGTTTCTCCTCTGACTTTTCCAGAGCAGTTTGCTGCCAAAGAAGAGAGAGAGAAATAATATTAGAGGGCAAGAGAGAGAGAGGGTCTGGAAAGAGAAAAATGACAGATGCAAGAGCTCTAAAATTGTTTTACAGGGGAGAACTGGGGGAAGCAATGTTTTGTTGTTCTGTCCCCAGTGAGACAGATCCAAGCCTTGCTGGAATCACTGGATAGATTCTCTTTGACTTCACAGACCTTGGGTCTGACCCATAATGATGGCTAAGCCTGATTTTGCCTACAGGGATGCCTTTAGTCTTAGCAGAGCCAACAAAAACCTTGTCCTCCCAAGACTATTTTTACTACATTTGTAAAGTTAGCTGCTGGAACCAACAGAGCTTCTTCACATCTGGACTGATGTCCTAGCAGCTACAGGCTGCTTTGCCACATGACAACTGCATCAGAGACTACTTCTGGACATCAGGATACGTGCAATTATTTCCGCATTAGATGCCATGTCAACACAACTGAAAGCATGCCACATCAAGAGCTGCTCAAGCTTCCCTAGGGCAGACTATTTCATCTGATCCTGCCTTCCTGAGCTGTGGTGGTGGCAAAGAAAAAAAAAAATTGCCAAGAATGTACCCTCCAGTGGGGTATTTCCTGCATATCTTTATCTCCGGTTGCTATTTCAGCAGTGTTCTCCTTTCCCTCTATTTTAACTGCTAAATTAGGGGATGCTGTGCTTTTATATGGTTCACTGGTTCCCTCAGACCATGGTGTCCAAATGGCTCAAAATTCAGCTGTTTCCAAAGCACACAGTGGATCCTCAAGAACAGAGCCCAAACCACATCATCGGGCCACCTGCTGTTGCTGCAGCTATTCATTAGGAGACAGAAATATAGCCCTTATATTAAGGAGAGGAGAAAGGTTAGAGAGGCCTGAAAAGGAAACGCAGACATGGAAAGCAGCTGAGTTAATTGATACCAAAACATAAAGAAAGAAAATAACTTCCCTTTAGTCTCTCTGCTCAGCACAAAAGATGTTATTCAGCATCCTTTAACCTTGATTTCAGTTCCCATTTCTCTTCAAAGAAGACGACTGGTGCTTGCAATCTTAAAAATAAAAGGAAAGAAATGTAGGTGGATTCCACGTGGCACATTTTAGACACACACTTTATAAATCAATCACTTCTTGACTGAATTGACACAGACTATAGAAGATGTTCTCAGTGATCAGCACATGTGGAGACATTTACATACAAAGATTTGAGCAAATTCCACCCAATTTGTCAGAAGACGTGGCAGTGGCTGCAGCAATGTCACCAGTGCTTGGACAAACAGAAGCTGGAGGTCTTCACTGGGAAAACAGGAACCTCTTTGTTGCTCACCAAGTGAGACACGTTTGCAAGCCACAAAAGTTGTCTCAACCCTTTGGAAAATTTTGCTCCTTTTGCTTCAGTGCTGTAGGAGAAGTGAAGAATTATTCCCTGCATCTCAGCTTGACTAGATGACCATGCCTACAATTCATTGGTCAAACTTGGAAACCTCTCTCATTTTATGCCTAGACATGTTACAATCATTAAGAGATTTGATAGAGAAGACATCAGGTAAGATTTTCAACCCTTGCAAGGCTGCACTGCTCCACAGAAATTGGGGAAGTCAGATTCCTATCCTAACTGCAGTGAAATCACTGAAAGAATTTGACCCAAACAAACCTGAGAGTTCACTGAGATCAATCAAGAGCTTTTCATTTGGCCACAGAGTTTGGATCTGACCTTTACTTGAGCTTTAAAAAATATCAATAATTGTCATGTCATACGTGTTGGTATAATTACAATGACTTAAAACTGATTTGTAAACAAATAAACTTCTCCAGATGTGTTTTTAGCCATGGGAATCCTTGAAAATGTTATAAACGTTCTACTAGGGTTGAAGGCTGTGGGCCTTGAAAGTTCACTTTCACATGAATTTTCTCTTCCTGGAGGCTGTTACAAAGCTGTGTCTTTCAACTGTAAAATATGACAATTGCAAGAATAATTGTGGAGAAAAACTTCAGGGAATTCTTCAGTGTTTTTAATGCTGTTATTTTCATTTTGATGGCACTCAGGAGCTTTCAGAAGGAAGTCAGTTGAAGACTAACTCTGGCCACCAAGTATGTGAAATAGGGCTGATGAGCAAAGGATCAAGTGCAACTGGTTCTCGGCTGTTCTGTTCATCTCAGGAAGAAAGCTTTCAAACTGCAACACCCTTTTCCCCACCATTCCCAGTCAAAGTGCCTTTGTTTTTTTAACCAGTCCATTGGTAGTCTCTATTCATAGTTGAAGCTGGTGGTCCCAGATGCACAGTTTATGAGCATTTTGTCATCTGTGAAGCCCTACTTCTGTCAGAAGTTACAAAAATTCACTGCCGCAATGGGAGTATTTGGTAGATTGAAAGCAAGTTGGGATGTCACCCACAGCAAGTTACAGTACAGATCACAGGATCCACTTATGCAGTGTTTTCATGTTGAACAAAAGATCATAATCCTTAGTGACACTGTCAGAGCCACACAAAGCGTGTTACACTTTATGTTCAAAGCATCTCTCAGTGGGGTCTTTATTTCAGCTGTTATTTCTTGGTGTTAAAATAACTAGTAAAAATGTAGAACTGCATTCCAAGCTTTGTCTTGAGTTTCAAAAAAGGCAAACCCAAAGCAAAATGTAGTCTGTCAGTTTTGTATGTTATGCATGTGGAAGAGGGGTTATTATTACTATTACTTTTTTTTTTTTTTTCCTCTTCTTTTCTTTTCTTTTTTTTAAGCAAAGATCATCCAGGAAATGAACATGAATGAAAACAATTGAAATTTCTAAATAAATACTTGCTTTCAATTTTAGAAAGGAAGAAAGAAAGAAAAAAAGAAGACAAAAATGCTCATTTGGCTAACGTGCAATTTCAGGATATTACTTCCTTCTTGACTGGTCCTAGCAAGACCATTTAGCTTAGTCAAAAGTCTGAAGGAAGCAACCAGCCAGATGGGCTACAAGGGCCAAGGAATGCTGAATTGCAGTGCCAGCAGAATGCATGGCAAGGATGTGGCTTGCTCCTGATCAAATTATCTCAGATCCCTCATAGCAAATAACCATCCATCATCAAGCTGGATGCAGAGAAACTGTGATCTCCTGCACAGTTCCTGAACCACACTGGAAGCTTTCAGATGAACAACAGCTTTTTATGCAATCCTTTTCTTGTTTATCTGTGATCTTACTCTGCTTTTGCAGGATATAGCAGCAGAGCCATTGACAGTACTGTAGCATTTGTGTGCAGCAGATGTTCTGAAACATCTGCTTCCCAACACAGAGGGAACTTCCAAAGATCCCAAGAATGCTCAGAGCTTGTAAGAAGTATCTTTTTTTATACAGACTATATTCTACCCAAATCTTTCTGTGGCAGCTTCTTGGCACTAGGGCTTATTTTCATACAATGAGCAGAGTGTAAAAAAAATAAAATAAAATAAAAATGTTGAGGCAAAGTCTTACAAAGAAAAAGGTCAAGTGCATAAAGGTGTGAAAGCTCCTGGAGGAGCCAAGGTATGACTGACCACAGCAGTTCAGTGAGCCAAGCTAAAAGCTAGCACGCAGACTTGACGTCATCCATTGACTCTTGATATTTTGAAGGGACAGGATGAGCTAAAGAAATTAGTCTTGTTTATTTCCCAAGCTGTAATTTATTAGGCTGCATCACAGACAGTGCGTACAGAGCTCCTCCTTTCCAAAGTTGGAAAGTTGTCATCTGTTGTATTTTTTGGATGCTTAACTTGGGTGTAGGTAAGCAATACTACAACTAGACAGTACTTCATACACAATACACACACACTAAAGAGTTTTCTTGAGGAAGCAGAAGACTAGAAAGGCAGAACATGCATCTGTAAGACTGCAGAAAGAAGGCAATCAACCGATCTAGCAGTGATATTCATTTAGCTAATTAGTGAAAGGGGATAGAAAGAATTTCCTGAGCCTGGAAGAACTCTCAAATTTTGGAAAATTAAAGTGATTTTTTAATAGGTTTTTGGTGTTGTCATTTGGTTTAGTTGTGGGCTTTAAGTTTTGTGCCTGTCTGTATCGTTTTATTTTGTATTTCTTTTTCAAATTGTTGTTTTAATTCCAAATGGCACAATACTTTGAACTTAACAATATTTAATGAAAGGACTAAGTTCAAAGAAGTTCACAAATAATCTATAATGATTTGCATTGCCAAAACTCTCTTGCCTGTCCTTTTACCATCACAAATACATTTGCGAACTGTGAGTGGAAAAAAAAACATTTCCAAGAAGTGCTCTGACCTTTGTTCTCTAGATTCCTGGTAGAAACCTATCTCAATCCTCCAGATCAATGCAGACTACATGCTACAGTAATGCTTATGCAAGATGGGGATGTGTTGTGGCCAAAAAACATCAGTTATTTTGCTATGATCCCAAGCAAATCAATTCAATTCTTGTTCTGGATGCATACTGAAGGCCAGCCTAACTCCACTCAACTGGTCTGTGGGTTATGTAGGCTGGAAAGTTCAAGAGAAAGTAGTTGGTCTGTTCACATACACAGAACCTACTTACGTGACTGCACATCAGAGTCCTGGGAAGTCATCATTCTAATTCTAATTGGGCTCTCATCCATGTGAGGAAAGTGTGCTTGGCTGACCTATATTACTTTGCCTACACTGAGATCAGCAAAAGCATGAAGAATGTAGTTTACTGTTTAATTAAATAATCTGCACTTGCTTCCAACAATCTACTAATCTGAGGAGTGATTTTCTTGTTTTGTTTCAACTACAATGAAGGAATCAGAAAGGAAGGCCAGGACTTTTGTCATCTGATAGCAAAGTGCCAAAAGAGGTATCTAGACCTATCTGAGATGCCCTAGTGCAACTGAGGCGCCTAAAACATCAACTGAAATCATCTTCCAAATGGTCTTCAAGTATGTGTCCTGTAGCCAGTGAGTTCAGTATGCAGATGAGTTGATCTTGATTTCATATGGTTCACTTTTTATGTTTGTCAACAGCATATTCCCCCAAACCATTGCTATGCTTTCCAGATTGTAGAAAAACATTGAATCCCACGAGAAAAGATGGATAAGCTGAAAAATCCCATCTCTCTTCTTTCTCTGCACCTATTACATTTCCTTACAAAGCAAGCCACTTCTTTATCCATACCAAAAGGACCAGAGCATGAAAATGTCTGCAGACAAGCCTGTATTTCCTACGTGCATGCTCTGAATTACCTGCTGGTGCATGACATACAGATTGACATCTGGACATGGAGTCTTGAAAAGCAATGTTATCTCTGTAGCTGAGCAACTAATCCCTATGAGATGTAGAGGTACAGGGGTTCAGAGCACTCACCCTAAAGGAAGTTGTTTCTATGTGAACACCTTACTCATTGAGAACAGGAGATGGAAAACACATAGTAGAAGAAAAGGAACCTGTTCTCGTATTTTCATAGTGACATCTATAGCCTCTTGTCTGCCACATCTTTAACATAACACAAAGAAATAAGGGGGAAAAAAAAAAAAAGCAAAAAAAAAAGCACATAGCCAAATAACACTTTGCTCTCTCCTTTAGCTTCCACAGCTCTGAGAACTTTTTGAATTTATTCCCTAATGATAACTTTAAATCACAAAAAGTCACCCTGTAGTGAACTCCTCTGCATGCTGTTTACAGTTCTTCAGGATTTAACATCATGGCTGAGCTGCTCGGCTGTATGTTATTTAGATAAAAGGAAATTAAACCAGATTAGAATCATTTTCTAAGATGCTTTGTCCTTTGAAGGTGAGAATGTGCTGTGAGTGGAAGTACACCAATGGGACATGGAAGACTATAGAGAGTCTTACATGTAAAGGATCCCTCTAGAATCTTGCTGGATATTAATGGGGCCGGAGTACTAAAACATGATGTCCAGCACGATCCATAAAAAGTCTCTGCAGAACATTCAGAGTACAAAAACCATGCAGGAGGTCCACCCTTGGAAAACAGGCTCTGGTACACATAGCTTTAAAAAAAGCTATGTTTATTTATTGGCTGGTTTGTTTGTTAATATTAAAGTTGCACTGTGAATACATCAAGACCTGTGCATAATGCACTCT